GCGGGGAAGCTCGCAGCACCAGGGACCCCCGCTTGAGAGCACTGCTGGGGGGAAGCTCGCAGCGCCGGGATCCCTGGATGAGGGCACTGCTGGAAGGAAGCTCACAGCACTGGCTGAGGGCACTGCTGGGGGGAAGCTCGCAGTGCTGGGATCCCCGGCTGGGGGCACAGCTGGGGGGAAGCTCACAGCGCTGGCTGAGGGCACTGCTGGGGGGAAGCTCGCAGTACTGGGATCCCCGGCTGGGGGCACTGCTGGGGGGAAGCTTGCAGCGCTGGGGTTCTGGAGCGTGGGAAAGGGGGAGCTTCCCCTGAGTCTGGGGGCCCTGTTAACCCTTTCCTCTCCTTCTCCCGCAGAGATCAAGGTGGAGTATGTTCCTAAGCAAGGTGAGCCCCTCCCCCGGCCTCAGGCCTGGACAGTGGGGGGGGGGGGAGGCGGAGGGAGAAAATGCATTGCGGGGGCGAGGTTGCCCCTTTCCCCAGTGCCCAGACCTCGGGAGGGACAGGGCTGGGTGTGTGTGGGAGGGGCTGGGGGTACAGGGGTGCAGGACTGGGGGGTACAGGGGTGCAGGCCTGGGGGGAACTCAGGGGGATCAGGGTTGGGGGTGTGTGGGAGGGGCTGGGGGTACAGGGGTGCAGGACTGGGGGAAGTCAGGGGGTCAGGGTTGGGGGCACTGTGGGAGGGGCTGGGGGTACAGGGGTGCAGGACTGGGGGAACTCAGGGGGGTCAGGGCTGGGGGGCGCTGTGGGAGGGGCTGGGGGTACAGGGGTGCAGGACTGGGGGGGCTCGGGGGGGGCAGGGGGGGGGGGGTGGGGGGGGGGGCCCCCCCTATCTTGGGGGTTGGGCCATGGCGGGGATTGGGCCTTTCCTGGCTGGCGGGACGACCCCTCACCCTCCGCCCCCACCAGAGCCCCCCAAAATCCACCTGGACTGCTCGGGGAAGACGGCTGAGAACACCATCATTGTGGTGGCGGGGAACAAGGTGCGGCTGGACGTGCCCATCACCGGGGAGCCCGCGCCCACCGTCTCCTGGATGAAGGGCGACCAGGTGGGTGCTGGGGCCGAGGGGTGGGGGGGCTCTGAGGGGGTGAGGGGTACCCTGGGGGGTGGGGGAATTTCTAGGGGTGGGGGGCTCCTGGGGGTGGGGGGCTCTGCCAGGAGGGGGTGAGGGGTACCCCAGGGGGAATCGTTAGGGGTGGGGGTCCCGGGGGGGCTCCTGGGGGGGGCGGAGGTTCCCCGGGCACTGAGCCCCCCCCGGCCCCCCAGGTGTTCACGAACACCGAGGGCCGCGCCCGCATCGAGGTGCACCCGGACGAGAGCAGCTTCGTGATCGACAGCGCGGAGCGGGGCGACGAGGACAAGTACTGCATCACCGTCACCAACCCCATGGGGCAAGACAGCGCCGTGCTGCACATCAAGGTGGTCGGTAAGGGGGGGCCGGGGGGCAGGGCTGGGTGGGGCTGTGGGGGGTTGGGTAGGAGGGCTCTGGGCAGAGGGGCTGAGCAGGGGGCTGGGCGGGGCTGTGGGGCGGTCGGCTGGGTGGGAGGGCACTGGGGGGGCTGTGGCTGGGCGGGGGCCATGCCGGGGTCCTCGGGGGGTTTGGGGGGTGCGGGTGTGTTGGGCCGGGTCATGGGGGCGCTGATTGGGGCTGCCGGGGTGAGGTCACGGAGGTTGTGGGGGGCAGGGCGGGGGAGGTGCTGATTGGGGTCGAAGGAGTGTAGCAGGTCAGGGGTCGCGGCTGGGGTCACGGGATGGGAGGCCTCCCGTCCCCATGCTGAGCTGGTCTCAGTGTCCCCCCCCCGTGTCTTCCAGATGTTCCCGACCCCCCCGAAGCTGTTCGCATCACCTCCGTGGGGGAGGACTGGGCCATCCTGGTCTGGGACCCCCCCAAATACGATGGGGGAAATCCCATCACCGGTGAGTGTGAGCCCCAATACCGCCCCTGCCCCCCAGCCCGTGGGTAACACATCTTGGGAGGGCCCCAGAGCCTGGAGCCCTGGACCCCCCGACCCAAGTCCCTTTCTCGGGCCAGCACCGACACCTCCGGGCCGGCTCCCTGCAGAGGACGGGCCCCGGGCCCCAGTTGCCAGGCGGGCCGGTCTCTGTGCCCAGGCGGCCTGATCCCACCTGCCCTCTAGGGGTCACTGCAGCGCTCACCCCCCCTTGTCCCACCGCCTCGATACTTGCGTAGCCGCCAGGGGAAACTGAGGCACGCCCAGTGGGCACCTGCTGGCGAGGCAGAAGAAGGGGGCAGCAGGGCTGGGGGCTGTCTCTGAGCCCCCCGTGCCCCCAGGGTACCTGATGGAGAGGAAGAAGAAGGGCAGCAAGCGCTGGATGAAGCTGAATTTCGAGGTGTACGGGGACACCACGTACGAGTCGACGCGGATGATCGAGGGGGTGCTCTACGAGATGCGCGTCTTCGCCGTCAACGCCATCGGGGTGTCACAGCCCAGCCACAACACAAAGCCCTTCATACCCATCGGTGAGCGGGGGCAGGGGGAGGATGCTGTGGGGTTGAAGGTGATGGAAGGGGAGGGGCACTGAGGGTGTGGGTTATGGGGCAGGAGGGGGAGGGTTGCTGGGAGCATGGGGGTCATGGTTATGGGGTGGGTTGCGAGTAGCACTGGGGACACGGGTTATGGGGCGGGAGGGGGAGGGGAACTGGGGACAGGGCTATGGGGCAGGAGGGGGAGGGGCGCTGGGGACAGGGCTATGGGGTGGGAGGGACGCTGGGGGTCGAGTTATAGGGCGGGAGGGGGAGGGGCGCTGGGGGTCAGAGGTTATGGGGGGGCTCTGATCCTCCGTGTCCCCCCCGCAGCCCCCACCAGCGAGCCGACCCACCTCACGCTGGAGGATGTGACCGACACCACGGCCACCATCAAGTGGCGCCCGCCCGACCGGCTGGGGGCCGGGGGCATCGACGGTTACCTGATCCAGTACTGCCTGGAGGGCTGTGAGTGGCGGGGGGGGGGGGG